TTTTTTTTTTTTTTTTTTACATTTGCTTTCACCTGGTGACAGTCAAGCATGTCACCATCATGCTTGACTTCTGGAACATTGACTTCTGGAACATTTACAGTAAGTTCAATAAGACAAGAACATCAGATACCAGAGTTAACAGCAACAATATAAAAATAGATCCTGTGCCTTTGATTCCATGACCCAGCTGTGATGGAGACAGGAAAGACTCACCTCTCGAAGACATATCTGAGGGCTATAAAGGCGAAGGCGATTGGCAAGGTGTAGATCAGATCCCTGGGTAGAGGAAAGCGGCCACCACCCTCCTTCATCTTCAGGTCCTGCCAGTGGACACCAGGAGGAAGCCAGTACTCATCCTGCCACAGCCACTCATTTAACAGGGCCTCCATCCTGAGGAGAGGAGAGGACAGGACAGTTTTATATGAGTGTTTGCCTGGGCTCTCACCGACCCATCGACGCCTTATTCATATTTGTGCCAAACACCAGCTGAGACATTAGAACTGGACTGCATTAACTTCTCCAGTGTGGAGCTGAAGATCATTTTCATTTCATTATTTCATTTTATTACTCAATGGGCTACTTTTTGGTCTACAACCTACATTTTCCCACAGCCCAAGGTGGCATCATCAGACTCTTGCTCTTTTATTCAGCCATCACTTCAAAACCATTTAGACTCAGAGAAGCAGCTCATCATAACTGGGAAGCTCAGATAGAAGGTATTTGGAATTTCTTTGCCAAATACCTTTTAGAAGGTATTTGGATTGGTTGACTAATCCCTACAACTCTACACCACACACACAGTAGCATTACAGCATCACACTGAACAATACAGCCTCCCATTGGCCAACCGCTGCGGGCCCTGACCCAAGCAGGAGTCTCTGCATGTATCCCAACGGAACCTGCGACGGAACCTTCTCCATGCAAGGCTTCAAACACACCCGCCCGCTTCTGTTTGCGAGCGTGAACTCGCATGCACGCCGATCGATTTTCAGTAATAAACAGTCATTAAATCGGCTTCCTATAGCGTCACGTTGACTGGCGTAGTGATAATAGCGGCAAAGCGTGGCAGTGTGGTGAAGCCTCCATATGCAGCCTGCTGATAAGACAAAGCCCACTGCACAACATACCATAGAACAGCCAGATACGCAGCAGGTGCACTGATTCTTAACACAGACAAATAAATAACGTTACAAAGGAAAAAAAAAACACGCGACATATAATAATAATAATAATAATGCCGCAACATTTGCGCCGCGAACGAACAGCCCACCTCTCACATGCAGCTATAGCCTCGAGGTGAACGGATCTATCCTTACCCTACTTTAATCAATACTACAACCCGAACAAATGTCCCATTATTGTTCCATAACAGAAAATTGAGTCGGGTTACCTGTCCATGTTCCTGGATTGGGGAAGCGTACAGCGGCAAAATAGGAGCGTGCGTGACGCAACCTGCTCCTACGGGGGGCGGAGAGATGGGCTGCATCATCAGCATCATTTCAATGGGTTTTGTGTGTTATCTTGCATTTTTATAATCATGACTAAGTCGTCATGATACCGCATACTTACTGTAAAATACCAGCCTGGCAGTAGCAAGAAACCACACCTTGATATTTCAAGCCCACAACATGCAAATGACTGCTTGTCATATTCGGTCTCAGAATCCTACTTAGAGATGCACTTACTGAATTTGTTTTGGGACATTTCTCACTTCAGCAGAAGCAGTTGACACTACAGGAGTGAAGCATTTAAATAAACTGTTCTAAAAAAAAAACATTTCATTTGATGCATATTTGGCTGTTTTTAATGAGCAGTGCCTTAGGAACATTGATGATAGGCTTATACTAGAACATGGAACATTTCATCAACCATGTCATCACCAGCTTATTTATTGTCACTCATGGATTTAAATAAATTGGCACAGAGATAAAATAGTACATTCTTGGCTTCAGTCCATTCATCAGAATGCCAAAATAATTAAAGGAATTATTGCCATATAATCTTGAACCTTTTTAAGTAATACAGATGGAAAGTCCAGGGAACCCGGGTTCTGAAGGTTATAGTCCTGTTCAGCTCTGCGCAGACTGGCACTTGTGTCTCTGCCAAATGTGCTTCTCTATATAGTCGCTAGAGGACATTGCCTCAGGGAAATTAAACCAAGGATATTCAATGTAACCTTAGATCTGGGAATACACAGATATCCATTTAACTACCACTTAGTTTGTGCATGCCAGACAGCAAAGGCAAACCTCAGTGTGGTGTTCAGCAGAGGTGGGCAACTCTAAAATGACAGCTCCACCTGTGCTCACAGGTTTAGTTTGTGCCATTTGCTTTAATAAACCATATGGAAGAATTCAGGATGTATTTGCATGTAAGTAGTGAATATACTGTATACACACAGTACACACTGTTCATCTGGCCTGGGACTGGTACAGTATTTACAGTAAACAGTTTTTAAGATAAAATGAAGCCTTTGTGTACTGTTGCACTACAGACGTCCTGGTAAGCCCTCTGGCTGACAGCTTTATGACGATGTCATCTCTAAAATGAAGGCAGGTAAGTTTCCTCTTTGTGTGTTCAGCTGGTGTGTTGCACATTCCAGAACTAATGCTTTTTATGCCCTCATGCCTTTATGAAGGCTGTATGATGACTTATGTCTTACCTACAGGCTTGTACTGACATTCACTTACGCATAAACGTACAGTCACAGGCAGTCGTGCACAGATAGACGCTATTCACATGCTTCATAGCTTTTTTACTTCCTTCTCATGTTCTTGGAATTTCTCTAATTAAACCCTGAAAGCTGTGAGACATACTTAATGTTATTAACATCAGAGCAGTTATGTGGGTCATGTGAAAAGCAATCTCATTTTGTCAGTCCTCTGACACACACAACAACACACACACACAGACAATGAAGCGAGAAAGACACCTTAACGAATTAATGAATATTCAGCAGCATTTTTTAAAAATGCAAAAAAAGGAATTCTGTTTTGACATGCAATCATGTCCTTTCTTAAAGGGGATTTCTCATGGAAGTTGGTGTCACGCTGAGTATGTGCCCAGGACAAGCCTTTGTGTGACTAGGTGCATGTGTACATAATTGGTATAATGGTGTCCAAACAAGTATGACAACCAGTACATTTATTTGTAGTATGTAGGCCCAAAAACACTGAATGCCCGCTTCCTTTTCTTGTGTTCTCAGTGAAGTCCCAATGATCTTTGAACCTTTAGTTTTTTAACATGTTCAGTTCAGTCCTTGTTAACTCTCTTTTCCTGTCCTCTTCTGGGTGATGCAAGCTTTCTTTCCTTTCTGACCAGTCGTTTTTAGGGGGGCTACAACATGCCAAGACAATTTGGATAAAGATAGAGAGATGATAAATGTAGACAATATGATCTCTGAACACGTTAAACAAAGAATTTACAGTCCTGCTAGCTGTTATATGTATTTACCATGTTGTCTAGCTTAATTTAGCATTTAATTTGTTAGCACCTATATTCTCAAAATGCAAAGCCCAGCTGAGGTTGGTGAGAATATCATTTGTTTTGTGGGTATTTGGTCATAGACACATTAACATTTCAACATAATGATAAAAAAAGATTTATGTAAACACCAAAGTTATTACAATTTATTCTGAGGGAAACATGAATGTGTGTACTAAATGGAAATCTATCCCAGAGACCACAAATGCCAAATACCCAGTGGTGCAAGACAAAGTCACCAAACTAACATCTATACAGTCATGCCCCTACCATGACTAAAAAAAATCACCCTAGATCCATCATCCACATCTAGCCATGTCTCTGGAGTCGAAGCCCTTGAGGCCTCTAGAGGCCTCTGGTTCTCAGCTGTCAACTCCTTTGTTTGGGTCAACAATAACACAGCCAAGTGGGTGGGGAATGTGCACAGGATACCAGTGTTTCACAGCAGCAGAGGTGGCTATGATCCTGGCTGAGCCAAGCTGAGGACCTGGGTGGTTACTTCCAGTAAACACACACACACATAGGACCATGACTGGGGATTACACAAAAACACATGTGCACGTATTGTATGTTTTCATTTATATCCATTAAGTGTTTGTGCACACACCCACAAAGGCATAGGTTACACACATGCTAATGTATTTGCTTGTTGTGTCTGGCTTTCTCATTTTATTTCTCTCTTTCATTATTAATACACATACAGAAACACAACAGCCTCATCAGAACAAGCTGACTCAATCTCCCTTTTGTCCTCCTGGTCTCTCTGAGCTCTGACGCTTCCCTGTCATCCCTTTCTCCAAGCTGTCTGCCAGGTGTTTAATCAGCACCCTGTGGCTGCCAACACAGCAGGGCCTCTGTTCTCATCTCCATGCGGAAGGCTGCTGGGAAGCTCTCACATGCTTTTTCTTTTGCACTATTCATCCCCTTTTTTCATTTCTTTCTGTTACTTCCTCTATTAATTTCTCTCTCTGAGCCTTCATTGATCTCTTGGCTGCTGGTTCTCATTCTTTTGTCTGTTGTTTTTGGCACAAGTTCTCCGCTTAGACCCCCAGCGTGAACCAGTTAACTCTCAAGCTCTAGGCTCTATAGACAGCACTGCAAATCCTTCTTATTACACACTCTGCTTGAGACCAGGATATCACAGCAACTGGAAACATAATTGTGCTACTGGAGTAATTAGAAGTCTCCCTAATGGACAAGATTTGACCCCATTCCAGCACTGGACTAAACAGTGAAACTACCTTTTCCAGCAGAGGGCACCAGATATTGCAACATGTGCAGATGTCAAATGGTTGACATGGTGTATAGTGGAGTATCCGATGGGAGCCCTCAACACTACATGTCATGTGGTTAAACCTTTGGACATCTTCAGAGAGAGACACACTTTATTCTTTCTTGTTGTTCACTACACATGTTTTCTCACATAGTGTCGCCACAAACCTCTTTATAAGAGTGAGCAGCTGTGGTTTTGAAGACAGAACACAATTTTGAAAGTCTTCTCAATTCCACAACCACCACATAAATTATAAATACATACACAGACACAGACTTCCCCACATTCTTTCATGGTGTAAATATCTAACCCATATAAGTTTAAGTTTTGGAGCTCTAATCTTAGATTCATCCAGTATACTGCCACTGGAACTCAAAGCTGGATCCCTTCATTTGTTTGACTTTATTTTTTTTTTTACCTCACTTTAAACCGTCTACGCAGGTTTTATATCAGCATGTCCTGCGGCTCACAGTAAATTGAAAAATGAATGATCGCAAGTCTTGCTCTTACTTTGCGCTCACAGAGTTTTCAGTAAAAACCCAAATAAGAAAGGTTAATTTTTACTTCAAAATGATTACTACAATTAAAGAAAACAAGCAAAACAAACAAACAAACAAACAACTGCTTTAAATCTTTTGCTTCTGGTAGAATCCTCTAATCAATTTACAGAAAATCAATGAATAAAACAGCCTGATTGTTCAACAAGTGGTATTATTTTTAACTGCATTATGCATGCCAAGAGAATAATGAGATTATTTTTAAATTTCTCCTGTGGAAGCAATAAAGGAGTAGGAATACTCCTAGGAATACTTAATCTAATTCTCCAAAAAGCGGTACGGAGTATTCCTCACGTTGCATGTGATGTACTGTTCCATCCTTCAAGGGGACCTGAAGACATAAACATCATTAAACCTCAATTGAAGAACTTTGATTGTCAAGTCTAAAATCAGCCACAAAACCCACCCACCTGTTTACAGCCTTAATTAACAGGCAAACTTCAAGTCAGATGGAAGCTATGACAGCTGTCCTGTCAGGCTGGGGGTTCGCCTCTCATCGCTTCACTCTGGAAGTATGTAAACGACCCTGAGATCATAAGACATAACCTCAGAAGTCAAGCAACACTGAGTACTGGCATCACTGTGACAATAATGGGACACAGTTTCAGAGGTAATTGAAAAAACAGAGGACGTAAAAGCCAAAGAAACAGCATAAAATAATTAGAAGTGTTTATAAAGGTCAAATTGTTCATTCTTATTTTATTTGCAGGTGTGTTCTTCATGCCAGCATGACTGAAAACATTGCATGCTGAAACAAACAACAGTCACAGAATAGGAGGAAAGTAAGTGGTTGAGAAAAACAAGCCTCAGTCCAAAAAATTCAAAGCCATGAAACAACAAAAGATAATTGCAATTAAGAAAACATTCACCCAAACATTCACCCAAAATGTTGTTTAATTTGAACCATGTTTTTTAAAA